CCTGAGTAACCTTGGCCCTCAATGGATGAGGCTTATTCTCTCCAATTCTTCCTACTTCCTAAAATCTCCCTGACAAAGGGCCAAGACTGAATTGCATTGGGTGTTTGCATTTGTGCTACCTCCCACCTTCCTCATGCCTCCCCCTCAGGCTCCTTTGCTCACTTACAAAACGTGTCTCACTTGGGTGAACCTCATGAACTTGCCACCATGGATCATATTAATTTGATTTACACAAGGAGACAGATTTAAAGATGTCATGTGGGGGCAGAAACCAGTGTCAACATCTCTTACCAATCCAGTGAACTGTCATCTATTTCTAAGTCCTGCTCTCAAGCTCAGATGAGAAGGCAGCAGGCTTTGTAAATTATTCAGTCTGAGAATAGTTGGAAAGGTCTAGAAATTTAACAGAGTTAAACACAGGCAAAATGAGGGTCATCCACACAGATACAGATTGGCACCATCATCTACCTGCTTCCCACATTCTTGTCATGCTCTCTGTGCTGCCAGACCCTTGCTATAGCTTATCTGTCTTCCATACAACCCTCCCCAAAGCTTGGCCAAGGAGTGGTGTTCTGGTACAGAAATCAGTGACCATGCTATGGACCCTGAAGTCCTCTTCTGCTTCATATAAACTTATACATGATCATGTGGAGTCCAGACTGTTGTCTGAACACACTTTAGTATTCTATGTACAACTAGTACATTTGCTATATCACCTTCAAAATTTAAAAAAAAAAAAATTAAAACATAACACTGATGTGTATGGGATGCTGAAATAGAAAAGTATCTGGTGCATTGGGGGAATAATGAAAGTACTGAAATCTTCCAGAGAATCTGTCTGGTTTGGACCTCATATTTGAGGCTACCACATTTGCGAATGTTTTTCTCATCCCATATCCTGTCTCTATTCGAAGAGTTCATTTCTTTTGAGTGGGTTATTAAAGTATAAGATCATATGATAATTTTTTTTCAGTACTGGGGATTGAATTCAGGGGCACTCTACAACTGAGCTACATCGCCAGCCATACACATTATTTTTTTTTACTTTTAGACACAGTCTTGCTAAGTTTCCAAGGCTGTCTTTGAACTTTTGATCCTCCTGCCTTGGTCTCCCAAGTCAGATCATAAAATAGTTTTAAGGAGTATTAAGATGTTGAAAAATGCCCCATTACTGAATGTGTAGAGGGAAAATTGATCTGAATGATGGGAATGAGGATGCCAAGAAACAAATGGAGGAATACTCCTGCAGGTACCAGGCCCAATTTCTAACTGCTATTAATAAAAGTTACCATGTATGACACTCTTATTAGTGATATCACAATAGTTCAAAGCATCAGCTCTGGAAGCAGATGGCTTGGGTTCAAATTCCTGTGCTACCATTCACTTAATTGATTTGCCTTATCAAAATTCTCATCCTAAAATAAAAATAATGTCTCCCTAGGTAACATAAGTGGCTCCCCTTACATAAGTATGTTTAATAAACACTATGACTTTAACGATTGAAACAGATAATAGAGATGTTTCCCTATCACAATTTGAATCAGCTAAGTTATTATACCATAAGATTGCCAATTTGGGGGGAAGCACTGTTGGATATGACTAAAGTTTTGAAGGCTATTTGGAACACATTCCTTTTTTATAGTGATAGGAAGCAAACATCATTGAGATTTTAACTGTTTGCTCATTTTAGGGGGAAACTTATAAAACTGAATTTAAAGTCAAAAGGAGGTAAAGGATGCTAAGATTGTTGGTATGACTATAATAATTTTTGTCACATTTTAACTTATTAACATGACTTTTCTTGTTCTCCATACTTTACCTCTATTCTACCTCCCAGTATTATCTAGCTTAAATTCCAGTTTCCACCCACTTCAAATTGCTCCGTTTCCTTGGATCACAACAGACTTCCATACCTCTGTGCCACTCTCATTCCAGTGGCCACTTTATAACAGGGAGCTCCCTTCTCAAGACCCAGCTGAAATGCTGCACCCACCACAAACATTTCTCAGTTCTTAATGAATGAACTTCTCCTTTTCTTTGTCATCCAACAGCACCCCATTGATGTTCTGTCCTATGACTCCATTCATACTATCTTGTATTGTTAATATTTAATAAACATGCCTATCTTTCCCATTAGCTTAAGTCGTCAAAGGAAAGGATCATTCTTTCTCTTAAACTCAATTTTAAGTTAGAGTTCAATTCTTTTATCCATAGAAAGTTCATTGGTGTGTGTGCATGGCGGGGGGGGGGATTCTCAAATAAAACATCAGCTAGCTCAAAAACTATGTGTTTTTGCAACAATCCTTCTTTTTTTTTTTTTTTTTTTTTTTTTTTTTGAGTGGGGTAGTACTAGAGATTGAACTCAGGGGCACTTGGCCACTGAAACACATCCCTAGTCCTATTTTGTATTTCATTTACAGACAGGGTATCACTGAATTACTTAGTGCCTCACTTTTGCTGAGGCTGGCTTTGAACTCACAATCCATCTGCCTCAGGCTCCAGAGCTGCTGGGTTTATAGGCATGCACCACCATGCCCAGCTGCAATCCTTAATTAAAATTAAACCCTTAACAAGGGATGGTAGGAAGGGGAAGTATAGAAGTTCATTGGATTAGATGAAGGGGATTGAAGAGAAGGAAGGGGAAATGGGAATACGAAAGACAGTAGAAAGAAGCAGATGTAACTTTCCTATGCTCATATGTGAGTACATGACCAGTGTAACTCCAAATCATGTACAACCACAAGAATGGGATCCTAATTGGAATGGGTTGCACTCCATGTATGTACAATATGTCAAAATGTCAAAAACCCTACTGTCATGTATATCTAAAAATAACAACAACAAAAAAAGATTGAAGTCATGGGACTGAGGATGTGGCTCAGTGGTACAGAACTTACCTAGCATGCCTAAGGCCCTAAGTTCTATCCCCAGTAATGGGGGTGGGAGTGGTGGTGGGGGTGGATCTAAGTCACTAGGTGATACATTCCTGTAAAGTTGTAGTTTCTCAAGCAAGACCTTGTCTCATTTCATCTTCCCACAGGCCTTCTACACTCTCCTGTATTCTATGAATAAAGCTCACTGTAGAAAAGAAAAATATATATATATATATATATTTGAGGGTTCTAAATATTGGGGTGAGAAGGTAAAACTTGAAAATCTGACCACATCTAGTTGTTATCTTCTAGCTCTACAATCTGTCCAGATAGATTCAGACACAAACCAATGCACACCACCATCACTACCAGTTTCTCAGAGTCCAATCCCAAACCAGTAAAGATTTCCTAATGTCCTGAACTACCCTCACCATACCTTTTGCCCTTCCAGAAATTCATCCTATAGATCTGAAGGGCCCCTGTCATCCCAAGAACCTATACACAAATGGAACAATCCAAAGATGCTCTTAAGCTGCTTAGTGGAACCAATAATATGAGTTGGTGCAAGATTTCAGGTTAAAGAATTTTATTATCTAATTTCTACTTTCAAGAAACTGTAGGGAGAGAAAATCTTGGTTTTGGTAAACTAAACCTATTATCTGCATTTACATACCACCTGAACGGGACTGTAATCATGTAATGTATAATCTGTCCTTCCATTTCATAATCTTCTCTAGCTTCTTCAGTGATCTGTCTATATCTACCTTAAGGATTTGTTTTTTCTTTTTCAGTACTGGAGGTTGAACCCAGGGTGTGTGTGGGAGCAGGGAACTACACTCCCATCCTTTTTATTTTTTATTCTGAGACAAGATCTTGATAAATTGCTCAAGATTGTAGCTCAGTGGTAGAGTGCTTACCCAGCAAGAGGAAGGCCAGGTTCAATGCTCAGTACTGCCAATATACATTTTCAATCTTTTTTTTTTTTTTTTTTGTACCAGGGATTGAACTCAAGGCCACATCCCCAGCCTTTTTTTTTGTGTTTTAATTAGAGACAGGTCTCACTGAGTTGCTTAGTGCCTCACTAATTGCTGAGGCTGGCTTTGAACTTGCTATCCTCCTGCCTTCCCCAGCCACTGAGATTTCAGGCTTGCGCCTGGCTTCAATATACATTTTCTATGTATCTCCAAACTGTGGTAGCCCAGGAGATTTGTCCAATGAAAGTTATATCAAGTAGCTTACTGTATAAGTTATATAGTTAGTATGAATGCTGTCTATATTTCCTGGATGGTTTGTGCCAGGTAGATTTGGCATCCCTAGAAGGCAAAGCACTGATTTGTTTTTAAACATAGTTATCATCTCTCTGGTAAGCCTCTGGGCGGTTCTGAAGCCAGGGTTTGTTACCTTGGTCGAACCACAGATAGGCATAAGCAGCAAGTTCCGCTGGGTGATTAGGTAGCAGAGGTGCCAGTGCCTCTCGAGATCATGGAGAAGGCAGGGCTCCTCCGCTGGCCCAAGGGCTTTCCCCAGTGGTGCTGAACCTGGCGAAGCCAGGCGTAATCTGCCAGCCCTGAGCCCTGCGTGCTGCTTTCCTAGCAGCCCAAGCGCACCCGGTGCGCCCCAACACCAACTCTCTCGGGGGACCTTGCTTGAACCCAATCCTGACCAGAGGCCTATTCTCTCTCTCAAGGAAATGGGGGCCCATCTGGATCCCACGCCTTTGCTCTGCCCCCAACTCCAGAAACTATCTCCGGAGTTCTAAGACATAACGCCGCTAGCCCCATCCCGGGGCACCGTCCTCCCTCTAGGACCCACTTTCTTTTTCTCTGCCTGTTCCACGCACAATGTAGCCCTCAGATTCCCCGGGAAATGTGCTCACCGCGGAGAAGCACTCCATCCAAGAGCCGGGTGTTAGCGATGGTTGTGAGAGCACCGCGCACACTCAGCTCCCAGCACATACCCCAAACAAGAAACCGGTTACAAGTTGACCGTCCGCGGGTGACAGCGTCGTGGCCATCTCCTTCTACTGCTCAGAGTGCCTACGAGAAGTTACTTCTCGCCTCCAGGAGGCTAGGCAGCAGAAACGGCCGCACACCCTTGGGACCCTCCCCACGAGCCCTAGCCCTTTACCTGAGTACCGGCCTCGGAGGGGGCTCCGGGGCGCAGCACCCGGCACAGGCCGGGCAGATGGTGCGGTAGGGACCACGGCTGCCGCTCTCCCCTGCAGCTCGCAGCCAGGCGGCTATTTATCCCGGGACCCGGCCCCTGCAGCTGTATTGGGCAATCCGTCCCACTACGCCTTGTCCCGGGGGCCGCCGCCCTCTGCCCCCGCCGAAACCTGCGGCGGCGGCGGCCACATGGAGCTGGGGAGCCTGCCCTCTCTTTTGGGCTCCACCTTTTTTCTTCTCTTCCTCCTCCCTGCGAAGTTTCCCCCCCAGTATTTCCCCCTTGTTTCTCTTCTTTGCCGGGCACCCTGGCCAGTCTGAACCGGTTGTGACTGCGCTGGTGGCTGGGGGAAGGAGGAGGAGGAGATGGAGGCAGAAAAGCGGGCGGTAGGGGCGCTGCGCCTGCTCTCGTGGCTCCAGACCGGCCTGGCCAGGAGGAGGGAGGACACTGCCTAACCGCGGCTGGGCCCAACACTGAGCCACCAAGGCCGCAGGAGAGGTGGGCACCGCTGGCTAGGCGCCCTCTCCATGCGGACACACGCGCGTTCCTTGGCACCACTGAGCCCCGCTGCCGCCCACTGTGTGCTGTAGTCCTGCAGGCCATGGACCGTGTGCATTTGTGGGGATCCCGGGTCTGGCTATGAATGCAAGTCCCCCCTAGTCTCTCTGGCTTCCAAGGCCACCTGGCGCCCTGCTGGCATTGATCCAGAGAAACCGGTACCAGAACTTTGTGAAGTCGATGCTCCTGGGCAGTGGAAAGTAAAAAATGCCAATTGTTGTCTTTTGTGACAGCTCTGCTAGAAAGGATGGTGTCCTGCAATGCACAGGAGAGGGAGGGAGGGAGGCAGAGAGAGGGAAGAGAGAAGGAGTGGAGAGAGAGAGAGAGAGAGAGAGAGAGAGAGAGAGAGAGAGAGACTGATACTGCATATGAGGATGGTCAGTCTGCCCAGTAGTTGACTGAACAGCACTAACAATACCATCTTTGGCCGTTAACGGGAGCTAACACAGATGTGTGCCGTATTCCCAACAAAAAAATCAGTGTAACAAACTGGACATAGTTCCTAGATACCAGTGGTTCACCAGGTGTGGGACCCCAACTCCAGTGATTGGCACTTTCTGTATTAGTGTGTGGTATGTGGGTGGTGTGTGTGTGTGTGCACGCGCTTTTTTTTTTTCTGGGAAGCAGCACTGCTTTTCTACTCAAAGTAGAAAGGGGACTAGAGCCATGCACCAACTCAGTGAGTATCCTCTTTACACAATGAAGGATTTGATTTCAGACCTGGGCAAAGACTACATCTTGTAAAAAAATTGCTGTCAGAAAGCCAGATTAAGCTTTGTAACTCTCTTGAGCCTTATATGTTATAAGTTTCCTTACTTATGACATTAGAATGAGATTCCCAGACTCTTGCTTGCATCATGGAGTCTATGTGAGATGAGAATTAAAAAAAAAAAAAAGGCCTGTGGAATCTGGCTGGTGGAGGTCATCCTTTCCCCCATGTAATTCCTTTCTATTCAATTTACTGACTTCCAGGTTATGAGAAAGGAAATGAGCAGGTTTTTGTTTTTGTTTTGTCCCCCTCCCCTAAAAGGAAGAAAGAGTAAGGAATATATTACTACAGTAAGAATTGGAGAGAGGTGGTCTCAAATAGTTTCTGGATGGAAAACAAATGAAAAGGTGGTGCTGTTGTTACCAATCTTTGTCCCCAGATTGGTTCCTTTTTCTCTCTTGGAATTGCGGAACTAGAAATAAGACTGAGCTCAACTGGGCAGCTGAGGAAGGTTTATTCTTGACCAATAATAAGAGAAGCAGGGAGAAAGGCTCAAAGATCAGCCTCTCTGTTGGGGATTGGAAGGTTATAGATATAAAGGCAATGAGGGAGAAAGATGGGCTAATAAAGGAAGGAATATAATGCCTTTTCTGAAAATGGGTGCAGATTTTCTGCAAATTTACATGCTATCTCTTTCCCTTCCTTTCTTGATTCTTTCTGGTCATTTTCAGGACGATTAAGAACCTCATAAGGATGTGTCATTTAGCATGCAGAAGGATTTATAATGAAGTTTGCATTTGTCTGATGATTCCTCTAGCAGCCATCTTCAATCCCACTGGTTTCAGTTAGCCCACCAGAAGAGAAACTTCTGGCTCTTAGTAATACTGTCCTCAAAAATAAGCAAGAGTAGGATGGGATAGAAGTTCAATGGTGTCCCACTATTGTAATCCCAGTGAATCAAGAGGTTGATGCAGAAGGATTGCAAGTTCAAGGACAGCCTAGGCAATTTAGCCATCTCAAAATAAATATTTTTAAAAGGATGGGACTGAGTGCAGTGTCATAGTCTTCAGCACCTTGGGAGGCTGAAGCAATTGGATTGCAAGTTCAAGATGAGCCTCAGCAACTTTGTGATTTTTTCACCAGCTTAGCAGATCCCTGTTTCAAAATAAAAATAAAAAAGGCTGGGGGCGTGGCTCAGTGTAGAAGTGTTCCCTGGTTCAATTCCCAGTACAAATATATATGTACAAAGGGGGATTGGGATGTAGCTCAAAGGTAGAGTGTTTGTCTAGCAAGGGAGTAGCCCCTGGGAGGAAAAAGAAGTTCAGCTAGGCTACCTAGACAGTAGAGAATAGGGTGGGGTAACACTGTCAAAACCATCAAAAACTTATATCTGAAGAGGAGGTGGACCTAGTAGGGGCTGCTTATCACATTCTATTTTTGACCCAGCTTGTAGTTACTCAGGTGTGTTAAATTTGAGATAATGTGTTAACATGTACACTGGTAATTGGTGAACTTTTTGTATATGCTTTAATAAAAGATAGTGTAGAAAGTTGTTTCTTTGATTTAAATAGATTCTAACATCAGAGCACATGTCTTCTTGATCATGGTCAAACCACTCAATGTATGTGAAATTCTATGATAGGAACACAAAACCCTACTTGAAAAATATTTCTTCACACCAAATAGCTTCTGAAATCTATGTACTTATGTAACTGAAAGCTCAATCCCCATCCTCAACACCAATCCAATAACAAAGACAAGGTATTGAGAAAAATGAAAAGAAGGTTTATTTCTTTGCTAGCAAAGAAGAAACACAGGGGACTCCTGTCCCAAAGATATGATTCTGCCTATCCACAGGTACAGGGGGGCTTTTATAGAGGTGGTTCAGAGAAAATGAGAATAGGGAGGAGAGATCAGGTAGGAGAAGATCAGGGAGGAGAAGTTTAGGGAAAAGAAGATTGGGGAAAAAGGAAAAAAAATGTATAAGTTTCAAAGCCACAAGGGATATAGTCTAAGCGTCAAGTGAACCCTTGTTACACTTACCCACACCAAATTTTGTTCCAGATCTATTTTAGATGCAGTAAATAGCCATCACTCTCATTTCTACCCAGAACTGAAAATGAGTTTGTCCTCACACACAGGCAAGTTCACAGCTTAGAGTAAGGCTAGACTCTAGGGGTTGAAAACTCAAATGGCTTCAGGGCCAGGTTGTTTCATGAATGAAGTAGATAGAAGGCATCCTGGGGAACTCAGCATAGGACGTGTCAGTGGGGTTATGGCTGCTTGGCACAGGGGATACTTGCCAGGCTGAAGTGTAAAAATTGTGTCCTGTAACAGGTCATCGTTCAGTCACAATGCAGCAAATCACTGAGACATTCAAGAGAATTCAGAGATCTAGTCCAATCCCCACACTGTACCTACAGATGGAATTTGACCCAGGGAAGCTTGAGAAGTGCCTCCATCACTGGGGAGGGGAAGGGCAGTTAGGTTGGCAGAGAAAAAAAAATTATCACCTCTCTACTGGTCAGTATTTATACACGCACACTCATGTACGAATATGTAGCAATGAAAATAAAACCATTTTATGTATTAAAAGAGAAAATAAAGGGGGGAAATCCCATGATATTTTACTTAAAATATTTACTTAAAATATTTTTTGGTGAGCAAAAAATTTTTTAAAACACCTCCTTATGCTCCCAAATATTCATTCCCAGCAGCATGAAAAATGCAAGATCTGCTGGCAAGGTGAGGGTCATGTAAGTTGGATATTGCTAGTTTTCTTGCTCTGAGGAGCATCTGTCCAGTCCCTCTCACCAGGTCCCAAAGTTCATGTAGCTTTTGCATTGCTGTGACCAAAATGCTTGACAAGAACAATTTAGAGGAGAGAGAGTTTATTTTGGCTCACGGCTTCAGAGTTCAGTCCATGGTTGGCCAACTCCATAACTCTGGGCCTGAGATGAGGTAGAACATCATGGCAGAAGGGGATGGCAGAAAAAGGTAGCTCAGAACACGGCAGTCAGGAAGCAGAGAGAAAGAGCTCTGCTCACCAACGTATAAACCCCAGTGAACTATTTCCTCCAGTTATAACCTACCTGCCTACAGTTATCACCCAATTAATCCCTCTCTGTGGAACAATCCACTTAGGTTACAGCTCTCATAATCTAATCATTTCACCTCTGAACATTTTTGCCTTGTCTATTTCAAAAGCTTTTGGGGGACACTCATATCCAAACCATAACCATGTACTTTCAACCAGATGGAGTGAGAGAAAATGGTAGGTCATTAAATAAGCTGGACCTAAATGAGCCTGCCTTGGCAAGAAAAGAAGGCTGAGGCAAATCTTTTGAAGGAATCGGTACAGAGCCAATGCCCTAAAAGCGGGAGTTAATGCTTTCCTTGGCATTATTCTTATTATGGAGCACTTGTTAAGAACGTTGTTTGCCAAGTGTAGTAGTACATGTCCATTATCCCAATTACTCTGGTCATTGAGGCAGGAGGATTATAAATTCAAGGCCAACCTGGACAGTTTAGACCCTGTCTCAAAATAAAAATTTTTTAAAAAAAGGGCTGGGGAGTAGCTCAGTGGTAGAGTGCCCGTGGATTCAATCCCCAGTACCGGGCAGGGCTAGAGGCGGGGAGAACTTTGTAATTTGTGAAATATTCTAAGGTTTCCCTTTCCCAAACTATTTGCTATGTCAGTACTTTAGAGAAAGAAATTAACCCCAAATTGCTCCTTGGTCCTCATCCCAGTGTGGAAGGAGAAGCAGAGAGAGCAGAGAAAGGTGTCAGTAGGGCAGGGTCCCACAGTTGCCCAACTGGCCAAGATTTCCTCCCTAAGTTATTTTCTTCTTTTGACACGTTGTTCTTCCCCTATTTATGAGTAACAGTGTATCCACAAAAACATTGTACTTTGAAATTAAAAATAACTAAAGAAGATAAACTTTAGGTTTTATAGAAACTGTAAAAACTATAGAAACTTTAGCTAGACATCTATAAGTCATTCAATAATAAATTCCATTTTATACTCTTACACTCTAATAAGATAAAAGACCACAAGTAATAAAAGTAGGTCAGTCATTTTATTTTATATTT